CCTCCCCGCGGCCTGCAGCTTCGCGCCCAGCCCCTCGTCGCACCCGCCGTGACGAAGCGAGCGGCGCAGGCGGCCGCGGCCTGCGCCGCCGGGCTCCTGGCACCCGGGGCGGTGCAGGCGAGCTTGACGCAGTCGAGGAGGAGAAGGAGCGTGCACTGGCGCTCGCGCAGCAGCGACGCCGCCGCGCGCTCGGCGGTCGCGTCCGCCACGAGCAGCCCCTCCTGCAGCGGCTCGCCGGGTGCAGCGTCGAGCTCTCCAGCGGCAGAGGCCGCGAGAAGGTGCCGCCAGCAGACGTACTCCGAGGCACCGAGGCTGGCCGACATGGCGAGCACCACGGCGCGGCCGAGCGGCTCCAGCTTCTGCCCGCCCAGCGACCCGAGCGCCTCCACCTGCGCCCTCTGCGCCGGATCGGGAGGAGCCAGAGTGAGCGCGCCGAGCAGCTCCGCAGTGATGCCGGCCGTCGAGAGTGTCTCGTCGAGCGCCGCAGCCGCGGCCGCGTCGCCGCCGACGGCGCGCTGCAGCAAGACGTGCGCGGCCTTGAACATCATTGTGGGTGCCAAGCGAGCGAAGGGCTCGCCAGCGGTGGCGAAGGGCCCTCGAGTGAGAGCGCGCGCGGGGTGGTTACGAGAATTCTTTTTCCCGTTTTGCTTTCCTGAGAGAAATGCGTCGCAGGCCATACGCATCTCTCACCGGCAGCGGCAATGTGTCTATTGCAATAGAGCCGTTCGCCGCGGTAGCGCGGTACCCCTCAATCTCGTGACAGCGAGTAGAGAGGTTCGTTCCTCTCTTATCTGCCCGGCACAATCTGTCTGCTCAGGTATTTAACCAGGTATATGTACACACCAGTGAGGGAGGGCGAGACGATCGAGGGGTCCCGTACCATGCGGAATCGACCCTATCCAGTGCTCAAGTGCTCAAGGTATATTTTAAATTAAAATCAAAGACGCTCGGCTTGCTATCGCCTATCCGTCTCGCGTCTGCACACACATTCTTGCGCAGTCGTGTAGCTCGCGGCGAAAGAGGAAATGTGTGACACAATCAGCTGGTGAAAGCCGCGGTGCGCGCACCCTGGCATGCGCAGAGAGGGAGCAAGTATACACAAGGGTTGGCAGACGACGCATGGACAGAGAGGGAGAGGGTCATGTGCACGTATAGGTTTGCAGCGGCGCCCCGCGCAGCTACCCGATGACGCAGCATGCGCCTTCGCTTTCGGCGGGTGTGCCGAGGCTGCGGATGCGCATCACCGAGCAGGTGGTGTCGTCTCGAGGGATAGTGTAGCCGTCGCAGTCGTAAGCGTGCCTGCGGCAGGGGATCGGGGGCGAGGGGGGGAAAGGGGGGGGCAGTGGGAGGGAGGCAGGGGAGGGAGGGGAGGGGCAGGGCGGCCGGGGAGCGCCTCTGGTTGATTGCGATGTCGACGACGGCCTTGGCGGCGCTCCTTGCGTGCTGCCCCTTGGTGAGGCGGAGACCTGTTCACGGCTCGAGCGGTGGAGAGACGCTGCTCACAGCGGCGCCTCCCCCTCCGGGAAGCGCCACGCCGTGGGCGACGGCGCTGCAGGGGATCGCGTCCTAACGTCAGGCGAGGCGAGGTAAGCTTCTCCTCGCGAGGGGGGAAGGGCCGGGCAGCCCTCGCGACTCGACGTCTAGACGACAGGAGCCCCACGGCATTCGAAGGGCAAGGCCCAGTGCGCGTGGGTGAGCGGTGTGTGTGCGCGGGGGGGGGGGGGGGGTCCGCTACGTGATGAATACACCGACTTCTGGGCGTGAACACGGTCTCGTGCGGTGTACTCAGAGCACCGCGTGGGTACACGGGGCTGCGGACCCAGCTGGAGGTATGGGGAGAGATGGGGAGAGGTGGGGAGAGATGGGGAGAGATGGGGAGAGATGGGGAGAGATGGGGAGAGATGGGGAGAGGTGGGGAGATATGGGGAGATATGCGGACCCGGCTGGAGAGGGGTTGAGTGCGGATGGAGCACGCGTCCTCTCGCGTGCTCGCCGCAGTACACACCGCAGTACACAGGGTTGTGCTCCGCATCTAAGGCCTCGAGATACGGGGAGATGTGGGGAGATATGGGTCTGTGCTCCGCATCTAGCCTCGAGATGTGGGGAGATGTGGGGAGATGTGGGGAGATGTGGGTCTGTGCATCTAGCCGCGAGCCCAGACTCCGTCTGACGCGATGACAACGTCCCCGCCCGAGGGAGGAACCTGCCCGGGGGGAGCGGTGACGGCGGCGCCGGCGGGAGGGGCGCCTCGGCCAGAGGGAGCTTCGGCAGCGAGGGATGTGCCGGTGGCGGCTGTGCAAGGGCAGTGCCGGTGGCGGCTGTGCGAGGGCAGGGGACGTTGGTGCTGCTTGGCCGGAGGAGCCAGGGCGGCAGGAGAGCAACTCCGATCCGGCTCGGCACGGCTTGTGCTATCGGAGTCCAACGGTGCCGCGGCGTGGGGGGTGTGGGGGTGGAGGCGGGCACCGCGACGGTCTGCGTGTACGGCGTCGCCATCACGTAGTCTCCGACGTCCGCATCGCCGACGGCGCGCGCCTGCCAGGAAGTGTCTAGGAAGTGTCTAGGAAGCGTCTAGGAAGTGTCATCACGTCGACTCCGGAAGTGTCTAGGAAGTGTCTAGGAGGTGTCGTCGCCTGGGCGATGCCTCCCGGCCAGAGGCGGAGCGGGCCGGCGGGGTCGCCTAATGTGGGCTTCCGGGAGGGTTCCGAGAAGGTTCGGGGAAGGCTCCGCGCGTGGGCGGGCGCGGGTCTGCCGTTGCGGTTCTTGGCGTGGGCGATCAGGCCGCCCATAGCGAGCACGCGCGCCCGCTCCGGCTCGGACGAGTCGAGGCGGTGGTCCTACGCCAAACACACGCCAGAGTCGGGGCCTGTGGGTACAGTCTCGTGCGCCGTGGCGTCGTTCCACGCGTCGCAATAAATACCGGGGCAAGGGAATACCGGGGAGTACAGCCGAGTCCGCGCCCTCTCGAGTGCTAGCTGGACACGCGGGTCTGCGTTGCTTCCAGGGCGGCGCTCCTCAGTCAGCCGGATAGGCGCGCCCGCGCCCCGCGGCACCAGCCACGCCTCCGAGTCTCCGAGGTTTGCGACAGAGAGCTCGCCGCGCACAAGGTTGAGGGCGACGATCGTGATGGTGGAGCCCGCCGTGGTGAAGCTCTTGATCTCCCGGTGCACCCGCTCGCACGACGCCTCGGACGCCTTGAGCAGGGACTCCGAGCACGGGTCGTCCGCCGCCTGCTCGACCCAGTAGTCGAGGAGGTGGTCGCGACAGTACTGCGAGGCTTGGCGGCCTCCGTGTCCGTCGGCGACCAGGACGACGATAATGTCCTCCTGGCCCACCACCACCTGCCGCGAATTGCCCTGCGTGGAGTGCACCGAGTGGACGGATGCCTCCATGTCCTCCGGCGTAGCGTACAGCCGCCGCGAGGCAAACCGGTCCTCACCCTTCAGCTCGCGCTGTTCCGTCCCCAGCTGGCACGACCACGCTCTCTCGACGACGGCGAGCCCGCCGTCGTCGCTCGATGGCAGCCCCGCCGAGGCTAGCCCGCCGTCGTCGCTCGATGGCAGCCCCGCCGAGGCTAGCGACTCAGCGCCCTTTGTCGGAGAGTCGGCCATAACTTGACGGGTTCACTCCCCCGCCCCCTTCACCCCCCCCTCCTCTGCAGGAGTGTGGAACCAAGTGTGGCACGCTGCAAAAACCCTCTAACCTCTTCCTACCCAGGTTTGCGACTCTGCGTGGCCGACTCACACAGCGAGCCTTCCTGTCTCCCTGCTGCCGGTTCATCGGGCGTGCACGCGATTGTGTTTGTTTTGCACGCGTGCTCAGCCAAGGTATTGTAGAGACCGACCATATGCACAATATCTTGACTGAGAGCTAAGCCCAGTTCGACGATCGGCAGCCTCACCGCGGGTCGCGCCGCTGCGCAGCGAGAGCCAGGCTCGCCCGGCGAAGGTGACCAGAGAGTGCTCAACAAATACCAGCCAGAAAAATTCAGGGAGCCTCAGGGAGTGCCACTGCCACCACCCAGGCCGCGGGAGCCGAACGGCTGCGCCGAGGACAGCTCCGTCAGTGTGCTCCGCGGCTCACCAGTGTTCTCAATGGCGGCTTCTCGCCCACCGCCGTTCTCAAGCTGCGCCGCCTCAGTGTGAGGGGTGCACCAACCGCAGAGCGTCGTGTTTTGCCTTTGAAAACTGAACAGTTTTTTCACATCTGACTCTTCGCCTCTCCTGCTGCGCCTCTCACCTCCGCCTCACCCTCCGCATCCGCTCTCGCCGCCCCGACGGATGAGGCGCGGGTGGCGCTGCTCGAGCCGGAGGCGACGCCACCGTCGTCGGATCTGGCCAACCAAGCGTCCTGGCGACCGATCCTAGCGCCCTAAGCCTCACTTATGCTTGGGCTTGTATAGGTGCCCCAGATTGAGTCCAGATCGAGCGCAGACCGACGCAGGGAGCCGAATTTCGCTTCGCCTGCGGCGCGCAGGGGAGGTCCGGGGGAGGAAAATCTAGTCGATTTTTCGGAAATAGTGCCAATCGATAGATCTCGCCGAGCCCTTTTCGGTGGTGTGCGTGCGAGCTTTTTTTCGCACGGGAAGCATTTTCCGAGGCGGAAACGTGAATTGCACGACTAACCCTGCACAAAGACCGCAGGGCGGGGACCTGTTCCTTTTTACCCATCTCCTAGTAGCGGCGTTTTATTTATTTTGCACGACTAGGCCGGATGCACAAGCATGAGCGAAGAATGGGGTGGGAAGGGGCTAATATGGCCGATTTCGCGCCGCCACCGTGTCGCAGGCTGTCCGAGGAGGAGTTGACCGCGCGTGCAGGGCTGCGCGACATGCTCCCGGCTGGCGCCGCCGTGCACGAGTGCGTGCGCCGCGACGCGCAGCGAGGAGGCGTGCTGCTGGTGCCGAACTATGTTGCGCCGACTGAGGCGGCTCTGTTGGGGCACGCGGCGCAGGAGCTGCTCGTTCGTCGCGCAGAGCCCCCGGGCAGGGCCGGGAGAAGAGCTCCGCGCGAGTACAATTCGAAGACGCTGCCACTCGCGCAGCTGCGCGCTGGCCCACACATCATCCAGCAGTTTGGACGGCTGCCCGGTTCGACCCGCGTGGGGCGGGCGGCGAGCGTGCCCGGCGAGTTCGTGCAGGTGGCGCGCACGGGCAACCGCTCCGCAGGCCTCAACATGCACCACGACCGGAACCGTGCTCCCACGCGGCTGCTGACGGCGCTGCTGTACCTCGGAGAGCGGGCCGAGCCTGGAGGACACACCATCTTCCCTCTCTTCGACGCGCCGGCGGCTCGCGCCTCCTCGTCCCCCGCCGTCGCCGCCTCCTCCGCCGCCGCCGCCTCCTCCTCCTCCTCCGCCGCCGCCGCCGCCGCCGCCGCGGAGAAGGAGGGTGCTCTCGCCCTCTCGTCCCTGCGCCGCCTCGTCCGGCCGCACCTGCACCAGCTCGAGCGCGACAACTCACAGGCTCTCATCTTTGCGGACGGGAGGGAGGGAGCGTTCGGCGGGGCGGTGCAGCGGCTGTGCGCCGCGGTGGTGCGCGCGGAGCAGACGGGCGCGCCGCCGCCCTGCCTCGCCGTGCCGCCGACGCCCGGCACGGCCGCAATCTTTTACCACTGGAGAGAGACGCGGACGGGGCTGGCGCCAGAGTGGTCCAACTTCCATGTCGGCTGCCCCTCGCTCGGCCTGCCCTCACGGCCCAAGCTCGCGCTGCAGAGCTTCCGGCTGAACCACTCGCTGCCGGTGGGGCCGTCGTCCGGAAGCTCCCGTGGAGTCCGCACCTCTCGAGGAGGAGGAGACTGGGCGGGCCGCCACAGGGCGTCGGGGAGGGCCAAGTGGTGAGAGACGACTCCGGCGCCAGCGGGGGGCAATGAAGGGCGACGGAGTGACATTTTGTGTTGTCGGCTATGGGTATCGTGAAGGTCTAGGTGAAGAAGGTTGCTTCCCCAGGATTAGTCTTCTCTGCGCTCACATTCACAGGGCAGGCAGAGCGGCGACATGTGACATGATCGCCTCCCTCAACCGTCAATCTGCCGGGCCGGCAATTTGCCCTGGCCGGCGTGGCGCTGGCGGCCGCCATGGCCGCCGCCGCGGCCCTCGTGTGACACCTCGTGCGGCTTGCGTGCCATCCACTGGAATCTGCCAAACGACTCGTAGGTCACATTGTAAACCTGAAAACTCCGTCCCCCGGGGGGTGTTGTCAAGGATTCCTAATGTGCAACAACCAGGCGCCGTGGCATCGTTGAGTGTGGAAAAAGAATTCGAGGCCGCGCTCTCGCGTCCTGTCGTGGCGGTACTGCGCAAACAAACACGTCGGCCTCGTCGGCCTCGCCAGCCGCGTCGACCCCCGCGCCCTCGTCGGCCTCTCTCCTGCTCCTGACAAGGGAGCCTTGAATGTAATAGCTGAAGACGATTGTTTCTCGAAAAAAAGCAGCGCCCGTAACAAACGCCGAAATTGGAAGACCGTCGGGCGCTAAGCCTTCAAGCTCCGCCGGTGCTTCTGAACCCGATATACACACAGATATGGCCCTCCTCACATCCCTCGCCCTCCTCAGCGGCGGCGACGTCCTCACGCGCAACGGACTGATGCGAGAGCGCAACGGACTGGTGCGACAATCACTCCTCTCGAGCACGCACATCAATCATCGAGCGCACCGCTCACTCGTCTGTCGCTCGCCACAGGCCAGCCTTGCTGCTCTGGCGATTTGCTTCCAGCAGGCCAGCGCTTTCAGCAGCACACCTGACGTCTCGCCGTCGCCGTCGCCGGCTCCGACGCCGTCGCCGTCGCCGTCGCCGTCGCCGTCGTGGCCGTCATCGTACCGCTTCATCGTCAACTCGTGCGGCGACATCAAAGGCCCGACAATGCACCGCAGGATCCTCGAGGCCACCGGCGTCGACTTCCGCCCAGAGGACGACGAGGTCCACTACTCCAAGACGTGGGACTACATGCGCTCGCTCAGTCCGGACGCGGTTTTCCTCATGGGCGACAATGTCTACAACGATGGCATTCAGAACTGGGGCTCTGAGGGCTATGGCTCTCCGTATGGCCAGGCGATACCGTCGTACCTCAGCGACGCCTCGTCCGAGTTCATGATGCTGCACGGCTACATGACGGAAGCGGGCGAGCCGGGGGTCCACTTCCACTCGTACCTCGAGCTCCTAACTGTGGGTGTGAGGTTACCAACTGCACTCCAAGTGCTCCAAGTGCTTAGACTCCCTCGCTCGCGTGGCAAATCGCGTTACT